TAGAGTCAAAAGAGTTGTGGGGTGGAGCAGGAGAAAAGATTAGTGAAGAGAGTTGTGGCGTGGAGCAGGAGAAAGGATTAGTGAAGAGAGTTGTGGCGTGGAGCTGGAGATAAAATCAGTCTGTTGTGGCGTGGAGCAGGAGAAAGGATTAGTGAAGAGAGTTGTGGCGTGGAGTAGGAGAAAGGATTAGTGAAGAGAGTTGTGGCGTGGAGCAGGAAAAAAGAAAAAATGATCAGTCTAGAGAGCTGTGGCGTAGAATATGGAAAATAATTAGTCACGTGAGTTGTGGCGTGGAGCTGGAGATAAAATCAGTCTAGAAGTATTTACTGACATGTGTTGATCAATTTGCGGAAATGCTCTCATAATAAAACATTCTACAGATTGCATTCTGTACTTGAGAAATCTAGCAGTTAGAATTTTGTGAAAATCTTTATAATTTTTCATATAAATATATTTGGTTGTATTTCAGGCCTCATGCTGTATTTTTCGCCTATTTCGAGCGCTTGAGTGCACAAGAATGCAGAGTTGAATGCTAATGATCTTATCTGGAAACTACAATACCGTTAGCCATAGAAAAGCTAATTTAATGTAACGAAGCCAGACTTAAAGGGCTGTCACGAAATCGGATGCTTAACAACCTTATCTTACGAGGAAAACTGGTCAATTAATTGGAGTAGTTAAATAGCGGTTCGCAACGAATGAACTGGACTTTCAACACAAATTAAATCTCCAGCGGATTTCATTTGCAATCGCTCTATTGATTTTTATTATTATTTGATTTCAAATTTTTTTCCCATTTTTGTAGCTAAATTCATTTCAGTAAAGATCTACGTGGACTCTCTTCATCATCTATCTCCCGTATTGGTAATTCTTTAATGCAGCTTCATCTAAGAGGAGGGCATTAAGGTATTCTGTATGCGGTAAATATTGAAGAGTCGGGAAAAGTTTAAGAAGCCGACCATCAAGCACCTTCTTGAAATTCCTCGCCTGTTTGACTCACTTCAATCACTATTTTTCGCTCCAGAAGTTCCTCGTTGAAAAGTTTCCCTCTTCAGATTCTTAGAGCAAGGACCTGAACATTGACCGGCTGTTATGAGAAGAGTCAGTTCTTTGAAAGGAAACTAGAAATAACTGCTTTTTTAAAAGACTAGAAAGAAATGTTGAATATATGATAGGATGGTAAAAAGTTCATTATAGCGATCGATGTTTGCAGTTAGCGCTACTGCAAAGTTTGCACGATAAAGTTATGTTGCCTGATTCTTTTGATTGTTTGTAGAGTTTAACTGTGCTCAAAATAAATTAATTTGCAGGACAAAGCAAATATCTTTCCATTATCATTTCTTCATTATAATATTTATGTTGGAATTTATTTTTTTGTTAGAGTGAGGTCTTCGATTGTATATAGTACTATAAAATAATATTGTTATTGTATTGTGCAACCTATTGAGTCAGGACATAAATTGTGTATCTAAATACTTATTTAATTTAATTTTAATCGCCATTAGCCAAATTAGTTGCCATGAATCTGGAATCTTCACTGGTAATTGTTCACAAATTTAATACGATTTGATTGCAGAAAGACAGTGTTGGTGTATAAGCTAGTGAGGGGTCTGTGTGCTCGACTTCATGTATTCACATTTGATGTTTTGCTAAGTTCGTCATATTTGATTAAATTCAGTTTTCTATTTCAGTTTCTCAAGTTCAGTTATCCAAAAGTTTCATAGTACTTGATGCAACAATTTGTTGATCACTATAGGGGCTTTCCAATATGGCAACTAGCTTAACTTTTGCGCAATGAATTTCATTGAATTTAACTTTCTTGTGAATTTACAGCCATTCAAAAATTCAAATGTATAGTTGAATACATCTGATTCCGAATGAGGTAACCCGTGGGTAGGAATTAAACTAATTTCAAGGCGAATGTTTCGTTTCCGCTAGAAAAAAATGAAGAAGATCATTCTTGGAAATGATTTTAAGAGTTTTTTTTATTGATAACCGTCAATTTATCTCAAACGATAATAAATTATTTTTCAGAATGTATAGTTGTCTCATCATTTCAGTACATCGATCGGATGAATTAAGAGTGGATTATGATTTTAGCCATTTATGCAAACGTAAATTAATTTTCATTTTCAATCAATACTCGTTAAACGAACATTTTAAATTAAATCATCAAACGTGACAAACAATATTTATGCATGTCCGTCCATCTTTTCAGTATCTTGCACACATTGATTAAATATATTTAAAAATCAAACTGTAATATTTCATTATTATTATTCATTATTGTTCATTATATTTAAAGTCAAACTGTAATTGTTCATTATTATTATTATTCATTATTATTCATTATATTTAAAGTCAAACTGTAATTTTTCATTATTATTATTAATTATTGTTCATTATTATTCATTATAATTATAGACAAACTGTAATTGTTCATTATCATTATTCATTATTGTTTATTCATTATTATTCATTATTTGTTCATTATTATTATTGTCATACCAGTAGCTATTGTGCTTCATTTTCAAGCCTCACACCATGAACTTGACTGCGTAGGTGTGGCGGTTGTGGCGTGACGCCGTTCACTGCCTGCTACAACGACTCTTAATGAGCGCCATTAGAAGCCGTAGCGCCTCACTCAACGTCTCATAATCGAAGCGAGCGCTGCATTATCATCTGCACTGAATTCTGGGATAAGCTAACGTCTTCGGATACGCCCACCACTTTCCTCATGAGTCTGACTCCAGGGGAATTAAAGAGGCTTCAAAGAAGTCACGAATTTGCAATATGTACGTAAAAGAGTAATTTATATCAAAAATATGCTTCAACGTTTTCACTAGCATGTATTTTTTTGATAAGAATATAACTTAAATGTATTATGCAATTAACTTTTGTGCTTGAGTCTAATTGGATTTATGGTGTGATGAATAAGGAGTCTGGAAGTAATTTCAAGCTATTTTCGGCAGAAAGAAATGATGCTTAACTACTCGCACAATATAGAAGACCATATTTAGTGGCCAACAGTGGTGGTGCGCTACCAGTCTTACGAGCTTATCGACGCTTTATTATCGAATTTATTCCCCACACTTTTCGTTAATGGCTCAAATTTATTACCAACATGGCAATTATAAATCATTATGAATCTTTTGAAGAATCTGTGAATTGTGTTCACTTTATGTTCACGACCATGTTTAGCAGTGAGTTGGTAGATACATGTTAAAATGATGTGCACTTTTCAGGAGATTTTCGTATTTTCTTATCGTTATTATTCATTTTGACATAACGCACGTGCGAAATTTTTGGGAAATGAACAAAAAAATCGTAATAAAAACATATATCTTCATCTTTTCCCTACACAAATTGGAGACAGTTCGAGTATAGTTTTGCTAACGACGACGATTAAGTTTCGAGGTTATCGTCTTTCATTATACATTTCTTCCTTCTTCAAATCGTAGAAATAAACTCGAATTCGTATTGCTCTTTCTTGAATAAATATGTTTTCAAGAATATATGGCATGGCTTCATATACCCCGCGCCACTCATTTCGGCAATTTACGATGCAATACAGTACAAACTTTTTTCCAGTTTAACACGTCCATAAATCTGATCGATGCGATTCATCGATCAGTATGAAACTTTATTCTTTTCTGAAGTTGTTGCCGATCTTCCATCACTCTCCGTTAGGAGGATGGTCCTGAAAACCTTGTGGCCGTGCAAATTGCTGTCATTTACGGAACACATCCGTCGCATGCCAGCAACGATCCATTTGATTACCTACACCATAAAGCTTGAAGATCCTGGCTGAGCATATTCACTCTATGTAGGAAACTGGTAGTGTTGCCCCTTCTCGAACGCCTCACTTGAGCCTATGTTGTAAAATTACCAGATGGCGAGATTGTTTTCTCTCCTCGACATTTCTTTCTTTTCATGAGTTAAATATTTTCCTCGTAGCTGAGAAGATTTAACTCATGCATGAGACAAATACAGCTTTGTATATTCATGAAGGCCGAACCTATAACCACATACGAATGAAATTGGAGGTGCTGATCTCTCTGTTGTAGCCCAACATGTATAAATATTTTGGTGTACATAAACATAGAGTAACACCATGATTGCATTTTTCAGAATTTTTTCGGCAGTTTCAGAGTTTAACCTGACATTGGAAGCTCCTGAAACATAGTCTCCTCAATGAAAGCTGAGATGTTTACATATAATTGTTTGAAAGAAGATTATATCTTCTACTACAGTGAATTCTATATATACGCACATACAATCAGACAGGAGATATTATACTGCGAGGAAATTTCGTGGCAAAACGTTTCCAATTAGATAATATAGATCAATCAGAAAAGTACCAATGCCTCTCAAAAAATCGAATAGTAAATGGTTGTTAAAACGTGCAAATTTCAGATAAAAATGCCAAGTGAAAATTTTATACATTTATTTTACACATTTGTTCATGTACGAACGGCATGGGATGCCGGCCGATTGACTTGTGTTAAAATTTGGTTAGTTGAAAAATTCATGTTACAAACAAAGGGTTTATACTTTACGGTAAATTTTCAAATTAAAACTTAAACGGTCGACAAAAATCTTCGTTCCACCTTCTTCAACTCATGATATGTTACATAAAATATTCAGTGGATAAATAATTAAAGCAAAAGATAAATGTTTGTACGTCTACAAATAAAATTATTAATTTTCACTTTCAAATGCATGTATATGTTTGAATTATAATTCATTATCTTAGAAAATGTACACGAGAATCTAAATTCTGTAAATTACGCTGCCAAGAAGAAATAGGACAATCAATCATGGTTGCTGTGAAGTAGCTTCCTAGCTCTTGTAAACGCGGCCAAATTGAGAAATTTAACACCTCTTCGTGTGCGAGTTTGGCTTCATTTTCGAGGTCGAGTGTCGTTGAGAGCATTCTATGATAATTGAAATTTTTATAATTCCGAACTTGAAGCTGAAAAATTTCAAGAAGAAATCTGAATTGATCAAAATAAAACCAGTGGTGACTCGGGTAAGCGTTTTTTTAGTTGTCTTCATTGTCATAATTTGACATTTCCCCATAACATCGTCAGACATAAATTTTAATAACTAGAAAGTTGGCTATGGTTTTTTTCTAAAAGTAAATATGACAATAAACGATAATAAATGAATTTCAGGTAAGTTTTACTTGATGATGCTTACCCTAAGTTTTATAACATTTTAGTTTCCGAAACCCCGAGTAAAATCTAACGCCCTTTCAAAATGCCCAATACGCTTGTTTCAGTGGTTAGGATAGATTACAAGTGGCAGAATACTATCTCTTAGTATGGCTGTTCTCTGGTGCAATTGTGTGACGTGTAACTGACGTAGTGTAACGCAAAAATGACGTGATAATATCTGTAGCTGATGTGCTAAAATTCGTGGTAAAATGCTTTTACCACATCAGCTACATGTTGATGGGGCAAAATGTTTAAATGACATATTAAAATGTGTAGCTGATGTGGAAATATTCGCAGCTGACGTGTAGCTGACGTAGTGTGACGTACAACATACATAATCATGCGTACGGCCGGCTGACCTTCTGCAACGAGCCCGTATCAACATGCAACGATGTTACCAGAAGCGTCTGAAATTATTATGGCCTTTTAGAGTTCAGTATCAAATTTAACGAGTGGTGTTGGTTCAAGTAATAGTTCGGCCTTGGATGCTATTTGCTTAGTGAAAATAAAATAATTTACTATGTATTTATTATAATTAAATTATTTTCGAGATATGTCGGGTGTGGCTAAACGCAATGTAGCTGTGTATATAGTTTTCAAACGCACAAGAGAAACACCAGTATGAATTTAGATTTTTCTTTCCGAAACCAAATTATACGGATTTGGTATCGCAACGCACTCAAGAATAGTTGATATTGGAAGGAATAAATATTTAAGCTTCATATAATGAAATATGTAATAAAGAAAAGGTTAAATAATAAGAAGCCAAGTTTAGCTTTTAAAGGCGACCGTAAAACGAATCATTGACGTTCCTTGTCGTAAAATTCGACGCAACGACCCTCGCTAGATTGAACTCGCCGTAAAAGCTTCGATGAAGCAGCTTGCAGAAACCGTTCACAGCTCCCGATACAGGCACTAAGCTGCATTCTTCATTTTTACAGAATCACCGAATAAACTAAAATACTTGATAAATGAATTTTAGGCATACGTGCGTGTTTGTAAATTTTTCATTATTCCTCGAATTCGAAAATTATCAAAAGTACAAGTTAATGTGGTGAAAAGAACTCGACCAGACTCTGATTTGCGAGATGAACATTTGAATATTCTAAATGGTGTATTTGAAATCAGGTGCGATTTAATTACTCTACAGCGTTGCCTGGACCTTCTACATCCAGAAAACTTACCGAGGAAACGTAATATTAGTTAATGAAAATTAAGTTTGAACGCTTCGTAAAAAAATTCACAGACTCTTTTCTGCTGTTTTCAAATTATTTTTAATGCCTGGCAATGCTACTAGAATATTATTAGTCGAGCGTAATTTTTGCGACCGTTTGGTTTCGAGTATTGGTGTGAATGTTGGTGTGAATGTTGGTGTGCATGTTGGTGTGAATGTTGGTGTGAATGTTGGTGTGAATGTTGGTGTGAATGTTGGTGTGAATGTTTATACGAATTTTGGTGTGAATGTTTATACGAATTTTGGTGTGAATGTTTATAAGAAGTGCATCCAGTCTTGCGTACAACTCAATCGAATTCGTCCCTCTCCTTGATCACATTCGTCTTTCTTTACTATCGAAACCGTTTAAACAATAAATAAAGACCTTGTACCGCCATTTACGAAGCTGTATTTCCAGATAAAGATACACAAGCCCGTTGATAAAAACTATAAAAGCTCGCAAAGAACACATCATATTTTGACAATGAAGAAGCATCCTGCGTTGAGTGGCACACGCAAGGAATCTTGACATGTGAAGGAGAGCTCGGTTGTGATTTTTCGCTCTGCATTATTTGCATGATGCGCACCCGTCTGCATTTATGGAACTTTAACGATCGAATTTTTTTGAAGCTGATCCTAGCTAAACTTGACTGGAAAATCTTGGCGAGATTATTGCCTCGAGAAGAGGTGGATTCTCTGGTCGTAAAAGGCGTCTTTCGCTCGTGGATGGCATCCGCACTATTTCGCGTCGTCGAGACGCTGGCGATGCTAAGCTAGTCTTTCGCTGCCGCTAAATTCACAAGGACATAACAGCTAAACCTTTCGGGAAAATTGCGAAATTTCACGAGGCTGTGCTACAGGCTAGTCGTAAACTAGGTTTGAAGATATAAGAGTTGTTACTTTATCTTCGATCAATTTTAAAATTCTGTTCATTAGCAAAAAATACAATCAGCAGAAATGTAAAAATATTATTAGGTTAAATGTTCAATCATCTCATCCTCCTTTTCTGGATCACGTACATTCTTTCGTTTTTTGTAGAAGCAAAAAGTACGTTTCTATTAAAATACCAAACGTGCTTCGAAACGAACTAAATTGAAGCTGGATAAAGATGGTTTAAATTGACATTTCATATCCTGAAAAGACGCGGTTGAAACCAAGGAATGGCTTTTTCGCAGAGCCAGTGGAAGCGACTTTTTCGGAGGTCACAGGAGCGTTCTTTATTGCACCCACTCAAGAATTTATGCGCGACCACACAGTAAAGTTTGTGGATGCAGCAGTCGTGCTTTAGACTCCTCGTAGCTAAACGCGAGTCTTTTCACTGTTCGAAAAAAGTGAAAAAAGATATCACGGCCGTTCTATTGACAGGCCGCCCATGAAAATAATCCATTTCACCGTTTATATTAGATGTTGTCCTGGTTTCTACTGTTAAGGCGGAATAAAAACGGCTTTGCAGGGTTCCTTTTCACGTGCCAGCCGGTCACTGAAACGCCACTAATACCGTTTTTAACGGTGATTTTTCGAACTGTGTAGACTCTCCGTTCAATGCGAAATTCATTCTAGACTGGACTGTATGCTGAACGCGAGATTCTCAATAGATTCAACTCTTCTACGCTGAATTCGAGCCTCTCGAGACTCAATTCGTACTTTGTTTTCTTTGGCGCCATAACAGAGGGTTCTTCCACTGAAATAACTATTTTTATTCTGAGACTGATGTACATAGTTTAAACCTTCTCTTTAGATGCAGTATTTCGAAGAACCAAATAGTTTTATTCGGATATACCTGTTGATTTTCGTATCATGCTAAACTGATAATTTAAATCCCCGTGTATATATCCGGTGCCGAATTGTTGATTATCGAAGAGACATTAATAATATGTTCCAAGATTCCCGACATAGCACAGCAAGTCATCGATCGAAACGAAGCCACATCTCAAGACGCATTATTCGCACCTCGCAAACACGCTTCACTCACCCTTACGCTGTACACAATGGCTGTTATATTACCACTCGGCAGCACCGATGTCCTCGAGCATATGGTTTCGATAATTCACCGCCACTGGATAATTAATTTCCATGTTCAGGTAGAAATAGCATTGTGGCCGGAGCAGAATCACAGTCATAACGTCTCTGTATCCATGCAGAGGCCAAGCACATACATTAATTCGACCCACATCGAATGATCAATTGTCTGCGTCAGGTACGAATATAGTGTATGCGTGTTTGAACTGTTTGAAGATACAACTCGGCGTTGAAAATTGTTAGTTAATCTATAGTTAAATGAATTACGTTCTAGAATAATGCAGTCTGATTCATTTCAAACGTCACCAATAGATTCATTCGGATGGCATTTTTAACTGAAAGTGAAATATGCCGTTTTTTACTAACATGAAGCAGAGTTTTGTACAAAAGGCTTTTATAATTTTAATAGCTACAATATGTTTCAGTAGCTATAATACTCGTAACAAAATGATTTTTTAGATAACGAAAGGGATACATCTGGCAAAATGCGTCTTACGTTATTTCGATTGGAACAAATTTCCACCTTGAACTTAACAACAACATTAAACTTGGTTCGATGACATCACATTCGTGTTTTGATAAATAAGGTCGATTTAAATTGCACATGAGTAGCAGTGGCCTCAACGAATGTGTTGTGCCTTAATACTTGAACATCATGCAATTCAAAAATAATCTATTTATTCGGTTACATGTGTCATGTAAGGTGGTTGGTTTTAAATGGGCTCTTGAAATGGACAGACAAGTGAAACTTTACTTCTAATTTTAACAGATACCAGCAAACAATTGTTCTCAATTTTCACATTCTTAATTATATGATGCAAAAACTGCCCTAAAGCTGAAGTTAGTTAAAGCAAATATATTCAATATTCACAGGAATGACTTCTTGTTTATTTCACTTTGCAAAATATACTTTAATGTTTTGCATCGCAAGAATGATTCTGAATCATAAAATATATCTAAAGTATTTGGTACCCTGTTTTAAACTCGACTGGAAGCACCGCGATGTCGAAATGTGTCTTGATAGTACCACCGAGTTTACCGAGGTATCCTTAACAAAAAAGAAACCTTTGAAGCAGAACATCTTGAGGGAGCCGAGGAATGCCATTCGCCTTCACGTTATCCTTGGCAGGCTTGGCCAGCTGTTGACCCTGTGAATTTATGATGTTTGCAAGCTCGCAAACTGCCCTAATATATATCCACAGTCCTGGCGCATCACGGGACCGTTAGGAGTCCTTCCAGATTTTTGTAGGGGCTTTTGGTGCATGCGGCATCTGCTGATCTAGCATGTCGGTTGCTTGAAACTTTTGTAGCGCAATTTTATGTCAATTTATGTCGCAGGATCTTAGCAAAATGCTTACGACTCCTTGAAAAAGTAAGATCATTTTTTTGGATTAAAACGTGTGTTGAATATGGACAGTTTATAAAAATGTCGCTGTGTGTGGTTTTCCAGCTTAAATTCTTGGTGTTTCTCTGAAATATATATATTTTTGGCATTAAAACTGGTGGAGTGAGACGTCTGTATATCGAGTTTTTACAGCGCAAAATTTACCGACTTTGAGCGCAAAATTTACGCATAATCGTACTACGCAATTGCCAGCAACTGGAAAACGGTGAATATTTTTGTTAGTTTCCCAATATTAGAAGAATTTTTATGCCCTCGTAACGCCAATTGCCATTGTCAACCATCTGTCGCCACCTACGCTGGATTCACAGGTTTCTAATTACTAACTTTCAATTTGGAAATTTGAGTGATTGAAATATTCAACATTCATTCTGTTTTATGTAATGAAAATCTTACAAAAAATGTGCATAACTTTCCTATCGAGATTCTGGCGAGAGTAATGAACGTAACTGATTACTTACAGCCTTCGTCTTTTCCTTGAGGTTCCAAAAAACGTTCCAAGCGATGGTGTAATATATTATCTTAATTTATTTATTCAAATTGCACCAGTTAATATTGGAGGTAATCATGCTCATCGGAACTCGTTCCAACTTCAATGCAAAATGCAGTCATTAGTTGAATATTTATGAGTCGCATTTTTAGACGAGCTCAATGCAATCTGACAAATTCAAATGTAAACCTTGTATGATTAATTGCCGTTGTGTTTTCTATGCGAAAATTTCGTAAACTGCCTTTCTTGCTAATCTAATCATAACATCTTGAACTATTCTTAATTAATATCTAAATTACTGATATATTAAAGTACAAACATTACATTCCATTTGTTCAATATTTTCCATTTTAGTGAACAAAAAATGGTTTTTGGAAATCACCAGAGGTCTGTACAGGCAAGTGGAGGCCATTCAACCAATATCCTACCAGCAAATTTCACACATTTTCAGTTGTGCAGAGGCTGCAACCCAACACCAACGCTGGCGCTAGAGTTGCAGAAAGCTTCTAAATCTGTACTGCACAATTGCGAACACCATAGCGATGGCTACGGTGTTGCCTTTCATCGGTATTTTTCTGCTCGTAAATGTGAGTTTGCAAAGTATATAATTAGAGTATTTTAGTTTTGTACTTATTTAGATTAGACTTCAATTCCATCGTAGGTTCATTGCCGTCTTTTATTTGCGTTTCATTTGGGAGTGCTTTCAGGGGGCTTTAGGATTTTGAAATGTTTAATTTGAGTAAATAATTAGATATTGATCACTTAGGAGATATGTTGGTATAAAATCCTAAATCCAACTATCCTGACAAATATTTATTCATAAAACTTTTTACAGTATAAGAATTTTAAAAACTTGAAAACTATAATTCGCTCCTAAGCTATTGAATAAACGTATAACAATTAATATATACCTATAACATATGTTTATATGTGAAAACACATTTATGTGGTTCACTATTTTCTGGAAGTTGGTTACAGTTTATTGAAGCGTGTTTTCTCGATTCTATCCCCTCACCTTCTATAATTATTATCTTACTGTCATATTGTTTCCTCGTAAACTACGCTGGTGTGATGTGATTGAGTGAAATATTCTCTTCAAAAGTTTGTATATAAGTAGCCTAACCAATTTACCTTGTTTATCTCGAGCAACGAATTTTTATTGTAAAAACATATCAATTAAATTAAATAAACTAATTTTATGAATTACAGACATGTGCAGGCGCGGCTATTCCACCGATGAACTTTACCAGAGCTGAGTCAAACAGCCCAGTAACAGCCTCCCCAGCCAACGTGAGTTACAATGTTAATGACGCTAGTTTGACATGAAAAATCTTGACGACTTCAGTTCTGTAAATGGATCAAGTGTCAGCTTTCACAGTGGTGTGAACGAAACTGGCCTCCTTCGCTTTATGAATTTGAATCTAACTGACGTTGGTCGTAGTTTAATTACCAATATAAATGAAGCCGATATCGTCATGACAGTTATGGTTGAACAAAATGACGCACTTACAACCTCCCAACTCGTTGTTAGAATGAAACCAGTTATTCACCACCTCACCCCCCCTTCTTCTTTTTCTTCATTCATTTTACACTTTTTTCCTTTATAATACACACATCTCACAACAATGTCTCTCATTCGCTTTAGATTACAAAGTTATCTAAAGCGAAATTTATCTTTTATTTACACTCCACCATTACTTTTTAGTCCACAAGAAAAACGTGGTTTTTTAAAAAGGTTTTTTAAAGTATTTTTTAAAGACTTGATATCGCACATACCCCACTTGAAGAGACTGATAGATATCCAATCCATAAGACTTATGTCAAGTGCTGCAGCTTCACTATTTGCTCACAATATCACATTCCGAGACCTGGGACGGCGTCAACTCTAGAAATACCACTCCTCCCTTCATATACAGACTGTTTATGCAACAACGCCATAACCTAACATCAAGAGTACCAGCCCTTTTGTATCAATATCAACTGTGCTTAATATCAACAGTACTTAATATCAACCGTACAATTAAATCCCACGCATTTTTCCTCTTCAACAGAATACTGCTCCTCCTACATGGCAGCCGCATGCTGTCCCTCAGGAACCTCACATGTCCAGCAGTCCAATGAAAGAAATCATTCAGGAAAACATGATTGGGAACTTGTTTTTCCATTTGAATGGGAATGCACCAAACCAATGGAACCTCAGCGCTGTCTTCTCGACCAACGTCGAAGAAATCGATACTGGGCACACAAGTTCTACCAATCGTAAATCTGGACGAGCTTTAAATTCATTTGATGGCGTGTTCTGTGAAAATAGAACTTATCCAACCATTCGCCTCGATCCTGACTCATTCGTGAGGATCTTTTCGCCAAACTACCCCCAGAACTATCCGAATAATTTCAAGTGCGGATGGAAGTTACTGGTGAGTGTTCCCTGAATATGTCTCGCTAAATATCAGGACGTCTCGCTAAATATCAGGACGTCTCGCTAAATATCGGGACGTCTCGCTAAATATTGGGACGTCTCGCTATATATCGGGACGTCTCGCTAGATATCGCGACGTTTCATTAAATATAAGGACGTCTCGCTAAATATCGTGACGTCTCGCTAAATATCGGGACGTCTCGTTCAATATCGGGACGTCTCGTTAAATATCGGGACGTCGCGTTGAAGATCGGGACGTCTCGTTAAAGATCGGGACGTCTCGTTAAATATCGGGACGTCTCGTTGAAGATCGGGACGTCTCGTTAAAGATCGGGACGTCTCGTTAAATATCGGGACGTCTCGCTAAATATCGGGACGTCTCGCTAAATGTCAGGACGTCTCGTTAAATATCGGGACGTCTCGTTGAATATCGGGACGTCTCGTTAAATATCGGGACGTCTAGTTAAGTATGGAAACATCTCGTTAAATATGGAAACATCTCGTTAAATATCGGGACGTCTCGTTAAATATGGAAACATCTCGTTAAATATGGAAACATCTCGTTAAATATCGGGACGTCTCGTTAAATATGAAAACATCTCGTTAAATATGGAAACATCTCGTTAAATATCGGGACGTCTCGTTAAATATCAGGATGTCTCGTTAAATATCGGAACGTCTCATTAAATATCGGATTCTTTAGGATGTGCCTGGCTAATAACCTTACTCTCCACAGGCGGAAGAAGGGAACAGAATCCGCGTTTTGTGTCCAATATTTAACCTGAGGGACGACGACTCGGTCTACGTTAAAGATATGGCCTTAAAATCAATATTGAGGTGAGGCTCGGAGTTTCTGTATTTTACCGATTAAAATACTAATAAAGTTCATGATTTGCGTACAGAAGAGATTGAGTGAAGTTTCGTTAGTTTTATCTGTGCTAATCAATTTCACCTGCATGTTACCATAAATAACTGTTTCTATTTTGTTTAATTTCTTTTATTTACAACATGATTGAATTTTTCCGAGTACTTCAATCGAAGTAATTTTTTTACAAAAATTTTTTTATTGGTGTAGCCTCAACTTGTACATTCTTAATAATAAATTTATTATCTAGCCAATTAATAGATTTATTTTGAATACAAGCAGCCTGAGAAGGATGAAATTCCAGAATTTATCGCTTCAGGTGGTCCTAGTGATGTAAGGTGAAAAATTTCGTAATTGCATTAGAAATTATTCTATGATTATATTTAAAATTGATGAAACAATGAATTCAAAATCCGTGACAAGGCGAACTAGATTGACGTAGATGATCTATAGGGTGTACGCACTTTACATTCGACAGTTTAAACCAATTTATCTTCAAGTTGAAGTCGTTTCTAACATAATTTATTGCCGGCCATTTAGTTCGCAAGAGTATAGCTCATAAAAACGTGGCGTTAGCTCCAAAATAATTTAAAGAATTGCTCTATAAATTTGTACTTTGAATATTCGCCGATGATTATCTGACTCTGTTTGAAAAGTTAGCTAGAGCATTTGGTCCCAAAAATCTCAATCAACTATCAATTTCAAGGTGTCGCATTGTTTCAGGATGGTATAATGTGGCTAAGATTCATTTAATTTTGGCACGTCAAAATTACTAATGATCAAAAATTTCATTTCAGACAGGAATATTTTGCATAAAAACAGCTGCAACCCAAAATATATATGCGTGGGTGCAAATTAGCATGAATTTCTTGAAATCAACCTTAAACATATAATAAGGAATAACAGATAATATCAGTTTTTGATATTTTTCCATCCACGTTAACAGATACCATGAAAATCGCGCGATGAGGAACGTCACTTCTGCCACCAACCAAATGTTTGTAGGTTTGATTTCTAATGCAGCGGGCAGTGGGAGTGGATTTGATTGTTATGTTCGACCCTTGCCTACATTATCCCCGGTGGATGACAGCGTTCAAGTGAATGCAGAGGTGAACGCCAATGCCGACATACGAACCAACGCAACGATTAGTGAAAGCGCTACGACGAAAATCAACGAAACGACGCAAGGAAACCTAACGGAGATCATAGACGATTCAGTGAGGCTCCTAAAAAGAGTTGGAGAAGCACTCAACGAGCTGGGCAATGACGCAACTCTTGAATCATCTCAAACTAATCAAGAGGTGACGAATTGGTCGTCTGCGTTAACGCCACCTTTAAACTCTATTCTCTCAACGTCTAACATGGCAGCAAAATCAACGATTATGGGAACTACCCACCCATCTCGATATTCATCGCATCCAGTTTCAGCTCCTTCTGACCAAGCCTCTTTTAGTTCACCAAGTTTGCTCCCAGCTTTAAGCTCTGATCTCTCTAATAACTCGACTCGGCAAAGTAACTTTACCTCGGCATTTGAATCTTCCGACACTGTGTCACGAAGCATAAATTCGTCGTTAACCTCCTCCGTGAGTTCACCACTGAATAGCTCAACTGATGAAACAACAATTATCACAAGCCTCAACGTTCCACATTGGCTTCAAAATTTGATAACACACACAGCGGATCAACCGGTGATTGTCAGTGCTCCTCGATCAGTCCATAAAGGACTTACTACCTACACCGTTCGCAGCAGACCTTAGGGTATAACACTCCTCTTTACTAAGGGTAAAAGAAATGAAAGTGCGTCTTATAAGCCCCCAGTAAACTGGATACCTGCATTCCATTATTAGCGTGCACCAGTATCTGATAATTATGGCACAACTCGTTAGAGAAATACGGCTAGATATGTACCTGGAATAGGCCTCTACAAAAAGATCTTGTCGAAAAATAATCGGCGAGAATGGTTTGCTCTGAAATATGGTTAGGCTTCGCCCAATAATCTTTCTTTAAGTAGCCTCTTCATGATTGCTAGGCATGATTAAATAAATATGTTCGAATCACAACACATTTATATATGTTCAATTTATATTGTTGTTCACATTACGTTAATAAATGATAGCACTGAACCAAACTTTTGAAGGAAAAATTCGTAAAATTTGCCCGCAGGTTAGCTTTTCTCTTCGATCTTGAATCAATTCAGTTCATTGTAGCTAGATAAGATATGTATTATACAAACATTTTTTGCTTTTTTAATAAATCGCTTGTTTCAAATTTCTATGTGGAAAGTCCAGGATTGTTAAAAAAAATGAGATTAAAGTAGCTTGCAACTTATTGCGCGTGTTCTCCGTAGTTTAGAAGAAGAACTAAATGTCGCTTAGCATCATTTCCTTTACATGAGAAGAGAAACATGATTAAGCAAACCTATAAACATGAATATATCAATTAAAATCTTGATGTATTTTTAATATATTATCTAGAAAGAATCATATTAGATTCTTGTCTGTGAAGATGACTTTTGTAGCAAGTTTTGGCCCAAAAGAAAAAACAAAAGTAATTGTTAGCTTTTAAAAATAAATTCTAGGTACGTCAACTGACTATATTTCGTTTATACTATCCTTTTATCTTCTCAAAAATTTTACAGAGAAAAAAGTTTTACATAGATAAGAAAAAAAATTAAATTTTTCTGATGACTAGTAGTGGAGTCTCATAACAATAAGTTTTTGTCGTGATTACTCAACGTCTCAATGTTTGTTTGCATTGTCGCAGTTCAAATAAATACGAGCGTGTGTAGAAACAATTGTGTGTCTAGCCGCTGACGTTATCTGATTTGAAAGGTTTATCTTCGATTCAAGTAAAAGCATCTATTGGATCACGAGTGACGAGTGAATATGTTCCACCATAAAGACGCGTATTACCCTAGAATTGAATACAAGTCAAATCTAGAAGTAAATCAATCACGAATTATCACGAATGAAATAGTTCTCTCGCCGGCCTTCATAGTTCATGTATGTAGTATACTACGTGATGCACTTTGACTAGTAGATTGTAAAATCTAAGTAATATTCGAGATATTGGAACTTGACGCTATTGCTGTACCGTAAAAGGCTGTGATCCCTTTCAAATAAACTGGCGAGCTTAATTATTGTACACTTTATCCGGATATCCAAGATCGTGTGACGCATTATAATAATTAGATTTTTTGAGAAGTGACGTTAGCCAGGCACAAGATAGTTCTTGAGAGACTCATGAGAACCTGTTAGACATGCCCATGCTGTCTTGGCAACTTGATACTACGGTCTCTGCTGCACGGTAGTTCAAGTTTCGACAGTTATCTGATTATCTGGATCAATTATTCAGAAATTAAATGAATCTTTATCGTTTTGCATCGCATATCTCATAAAAAATTTTCTGTTTGTCTTCAGAACTGAGTAATCATTCAACTTAATATGTATTTAAAAACTATGTCTTCTCCACGTTCATGATATCTATCGACATAGTACGGAATGATGAACGAATGCAATGGTTCGGAAGACGATTTTACATATACGAGCTACGTCGCTCGGTGATCGTTAGACTTTCCTGCACTTGCGACGGCTAACAAAGCCCCGATTTATTCATTAAAAACTTCGATCTTGATCGTGCTGGATGAACTTCAGCGAAGTTTTTTACGTCGCACCAAGTTTTAATCAGCAAGCAATGACCGTAACTAAGTTTTATTTGCAGCTTCTAGACTCCTTCATTTCAGTTTAAACTCAAGCTAACATCAGAAGCTCTCATTAAATAATAATACTTTTTTCTCTATTTATATGACTACATGAAATGAACGAATCAAGAAAATTAGAAATGTTATTCTTTGAATATTCTCAAAATTTAATGTCAAATTATCCAATGCATAATTTTTACAAATAACATACGATGCATGTTTGCTCTTTCTTTCTAATAGAGTTCGTTAAATGCTAACATTCCAGTTAAATAAAAATTTCAGAAATGTATTAATTTATATCTTCATCAGACAAAAATCTCATAATGATGGGCATCATTGCAGGCCAAACGTACGTTCAAAACCATTAGTGATCATATGGTGTATATTACAAAAAAATCGTATTTCTGTAGTTTTTTCTCGATCCAATTCGATTCGTTGAACCATAAATTAATGTTCCTTTACAAACCTTATTAAAAAAATACATGTTATTAAAAAAATAAATGTTCCTTTACAAACCTTATTAAAAAAGGATTGCAGGCAAGTCACTAATTCGAGGCTTGATTGGGGATTTGCAATTAAGCCAGCATTTGTTGACGAAATCTCGTCAGTTTAAAACGCTGCGCGCTAGTGACGGTTACGATGAAGGTTTTAAACGGATAATTTTTGCGTATAATTAAATCATTGTTAATCATTTTTTTCGATTATGCTTTTTTTGCCTAATGCTTTTCGATCTCAATTATTTTGTTTGAATGTATGTTATTTTACTTATTTATGGCTGTTTCAACCTTCAGTGGTTCAAGTTTCTTTTTGCTAACAGTTACGTATCCATTTTGTGACTTCTAATTTAATCAATTTCAGGTCATATTTATCCATTCTGCATAAATTGTGGATTAATTATTTATCCCGCACAGAAAGAACTTCTAGAATTCCCTAAGGATTTATATTTCATTCCCAGTTGATATACGATTCCTGTAGTAATTTTCGATCGATCACTGTATCTCTTATTTCGCCATCACTTACTTCTAATTGCATGAATCGTCGATGAGTGCAATCTCGTTAACGCGAATAATTGCGTCCAAATGAGATGTCAATAATTTCTTCCCTGGAATCTTTATAGGGAGAAAATTGGGTGTCAGAATCGCTGGAAATATTACGAAGGGAACGACGAGTCTGTAATTATAATTGGATATACGTACAGCAAATGTAATGCGATTTAAGGTGGATTTAAAATTTTTTGATGTTTAGGCATTTTGTATCATATATCAACTTGAATAAAGTAGTACTAACAAAAACACGTGGTACATTACACAACGGCTTCGGTTTGGTGAAAATATTTTGTTGATAATTATTCTACCAAATTCAGAACAAATTGTCAACAGAAAATGCATACATTATATTTTCTGATCGGTGAAAGAATTTGGTCAGAAGTAGGTTGACCAACTATTTTTTACTGGCATAATCCTTGATAATTTTCCACCTCTGCTCAACAAAATGGATCTACTAATTCTAACAGATTGTCTGATGGCTTTGAGAGTCTGTCATAGAGCACATTTAATTTAATTCCGTCCTCTCATCCTTCTATTTTTTTTACCCCTTTGCATTCTAAAAGAATTTTCAATTATTTTTTGTTTCTCAAATCACAATTAACTCGCACCTTTCTCCTCTAGCGCCATTATCTTGATAAATTGCTTTTAATTTCTTACTCTTTGCTCACCTCAATTTATCCACAGCATTCACCTCGACCTCCATCACACTCACTGCAACTTAAACACATCAATTCCTGCACAAGTAACGTTGCTGAAATATTCCTCGAGCGTCTAAAAAAATCGGCGCAAAGTTCAGACGTAATTTTTTAGACGGAAAACACTACAAGTTTTTCCGGTCGGTTGCTTCACCTCATGCGTTGCCGGGTAATAGCTTATTCATAAGCAAACCCCATTATTTGGGGCCAGCGGTTAGTGCTTAAATAAGAAGCTCTTAACTCAAGTCCCTGTTTAAAAACACTGCAAAGAAAGGTCCCGTAGGCTCCATTTAATTGACAGCGAAATGAGAGCGTGGAAATTTCTCCTCGTGAGCTGGTTAGCCGCTGTTGTTTTTGAAGTTGAATTCCTTTTTCTTCTTTTTACGACTAACATCTGAACAAAGAAACCTTGAAGTTAAACCTCGCATTGTTTCTTCTGTGAAATGAATTCACTAATGCAGCATGATTCATTTGCATTTTAGTATTTAGTTATTTTTAATGTGACTGTTGCATAGCTAAATTCGATCATTTTTCATTAAATTTACTTATCTGAATCGTGTAACATAATGAGTGAGCAGGGATAGATTAGTTAGATAGATTGATTGCATTTTTTCGGAAAGAAAAAAGTTCTCGTGTCACAATCACGCATAAACTTGAGTATTAAAATGTCCCATTTTAATACTCATTTAATCCCATTTCACCACTAAGCAGCTAATAACTAAACACTCGACTATTCAGTACCCATCCACCAGAGGTAAAGTCTACCAAAATAAAAGTTTTTTCTACACCGCACAATTCCAAGCCTATGGCCTTAAAAGAAAATATATGAAAAAAAAGATCAGTGTGTGCAGTGCCAAGTATTAATTTAGCCAAAGGAGTAACTTAAATAATTGGCATTGTGTTGAGTTAGATCAAATTTATGCATGCAGCTTCAATAAAACATTTAGGTTGTTAATGAATATAATTTACTACCAGCCTTGCATCGCGTGGGTTATTATTTTTGTATTACCCGATTTTCGATGATCAAAGTTGCAGATTCTTGCATCAAGCTCGTAATCAAGTACATAAATTAGGACATGAATTTCCAAACATTATAATTTATTTTGCCCATATTTATCTTAGTTACATTCCAGGAATTTTTAGCATTGGTTTAATCAGAAATTATTGATAATTCCTAATTAAACAAACTATGTTCAAATAACATCTATGAAATAATGTTTTTTACCGAAAGTAAAAAGAGTAAAAAGTAGAAACGACAATATACACAAAAATCCCAAACCAAGTATTACTAAAAACAAGCTCTACGTGCGACTATAATTCCGAGCGCACTCCTCTGAATAATATATTTTACACAAACACTGAACGTGAAATATCAACACCACTCATAATTTTTCAGCATACAACATCCCCTCATCATATACAACATCTCACCATCCAACCCTGTAAAAAATCCGATTGAGCGCACGGAAAAAACAACAGCACGCCAGGGCAGTTGCATTATAGCAGCAACCGCTTTATCGCTAACGAGACTCCATGGCTTTGCTGCTGCGCTGTGTATTTGTTGTGGCCATGCAGAGGGTGGCTGCCAAACACCCTAACGCTTTCATGATTATGAGTGTCTCTTGTTGAACAAACACGGGCGTAAGCAGCCAAGCTCTTATTGTCGCAGTCACAAACGGCTTCATTTAGTTTGGCAAAAATTCAAGGAGTGTACGGTTATTTTGACTAGTGCAGGAATTTCGCTGGAATTTTAAATTTATATTATATTATATATTATATTATAATTGTTTTATATTGTATACTATATTAAAATTGTGCGTTCTCTATGAAAATACCACTAGTTATGAGTTTACGTAATCTGATAAGATCATTATTAAATGAATATTGGTTAGGTATATATAAAAAGTTAACCTAATGATTTTTGTGAGATTTTTAATTGATCTCTGTTTTGAAATAACATTTAAGTAAATGGAATTCAAGCAAACTAGCCCTTCTTGTCGAGCAAAATTTCTTTGGGAATGACTACGAATTTCATCTAACTATCCTGAATAAAGGATTAATTTTTTTACCACAGAAAATAACCATTTACAAATGGTGTAACTTTGAGACGTGTGTTCCATTATGTTAACTTATGGGAAGATTTCCATCCTTGAGCGATTGGTTGCCAGATAACATTCGTAATTTTCTTACTAGGGACGGCGGAGAAATGAGATGAATTACTCTAAATTTAATCTTCACTCTATGTACGTAATTTGCTTCGCTTCCGCATATTAATAGAATCGTATAATTATTGAAAAATAATATTGCCTTGGAATCGTGGAAAAATAAGATTCTAATCTCAATTCCTTAAAAATTTCCATAGTTATCAATTATATGCGAAATATCGCATTTCCTTAAATCTTTCACTTGGTTCATGCACGGGAAATAATTATATGACAGCTACATAAAATCAGGAACATGGAATATCGTCATGCAGAACAGGAAACTATTACTCTCCCATTCATTCGTGTATATTTTAAAGCTGAACTCCAGACCTGAAGAAAGAGAATGAGTGAGATAAAGTGAGATAAAGAACGACAGCAAATAGCGCAGAAATATTTTTATCCCTATAGCTGCCATCGCTGAACTCCCTTATGGCAACTTTTATCACGGTAGAAAACTTGCACTGAAAAACCCCTTTTGACGAAGGTGTTGT